TTTTTTTTGAGGTAGGCCCTTGCTCTGTCACCCACACTGGATCACAGTGGCACGATGCTAGCTCACTGCAGCCTCTGACTCCTGGGCTCAAGCAATCCTCCTGCCTCGGTCTCCCAAGCAGGTAGGACGACAGGTGCACACCACCATGCCCAGCTGATTTTGAGACTGACTCTTGGTCTTGAACCTCCAGCCTCCAGAACGACGAGACAACGAATTTCTGGTGCTGAAGCCACAGGGTAGTCGGGGCTACTTTGTGACGGCAGTCCCAGCAAACTCACACACTGCCTGATTCCCAACATCTCCTCATTTCTCTTTCCTTAGGTTCACTCTGGCTCAGAAAATAAGGTCTTCCGTAGACATGCCCCGCTTCAAGGATGCATGGGAATGGAGAGGTAGCCTGAGGCACAGCTTGGGATCTGGCCTCTCCCACCTCCCAAGTCCTTCTCTCTCCTGTCTGACCCTCACTCCCCGTTTGTTCACCCCACTTTCCAGGGTCTTTTCTGAAAAGCTTCCTCCGGGGCACAGCTGCCATTTCTGCTGCCCAACCTCCTTCCTCCTCCTCCAGATTCCCCTGAGTCTCCTTTGGAAGCTGCCTTTACCACACCTTGGTCCGTGTGGCTGGCTGCTGATAACCACACCCCCCAGTCCCCCTGGCTGGACCTGGCCTTGGTCAGAGCCACCGTGATGAGATTGGGACCGCGTGTGACCCGATGAGGGTTGGAGAGCAAGGCCTGGGACTTTTGCTGAAGCTTTTAGGAGAGAAAAATCTACTTTCTGAGGGGGCTGCCAAGCCAGCGTCTCATATGAAGGCAATTCTATCTCTGTACATTGGGGAGCCGACCTAAGAATGGAACCAGGGCAAAGGAAAGCAGAGATGAGAGGGAGGGAAGGAAGGAGAAGAGAGAGAAAAGAGAGAAGGGGGAGGAGAGGAAAGGGAGGGAAGGGGAGGGGAGGAGGGAGAGGCAGGAACGAAGAATGAGTCATGTCACTGCGCTGGACTTCACAGTCACTCAAGCCAGTCAACGGTCCCTTTTGCTGAAGCATCTCCGGGTTAGCAAGTTGGCACACAGACATCGCCAAACATCTTAGAATGCACAGGACATCCCCCACAACTATGCCAGACACTTACCATCTGGAGTTTCAGGGTCATTTAGAAGCCTGTGAGACCCTCTGTCTCTTGCAATTCAGACCTGACTAATAAGCCTCCCTGGCCTGTGATGCCACCTACCCAAAGCCAAATCCAGAGTAGTTTAATCCAGGGAAGTTTAAGTCCTACCGTTAGATCCAGGACCCCAAAGGCAAAGACATGTCACACAAGACAGAGCTCACTTGTGGAAGCGGGGTTAAATTCCAGCACCACGAGGGTGTCTGGGTCCTGGGGAGAGTGTCCTTCTGTCTCCTGGTTCTCAGGAACATCCTTCGGTGCCAAGTCCCCACTGGGAGAATGGGTGTCGTCTTTGGGATGGCCCCCCAGCATCTGGTCCTCAGGCTCAGGCTCGGAGAGCACGTCTTCTTCAATAGAATCATACTCGTCACTGGAACAATCTTTTTGTTTCCTTTGTAGATTTACACGAAGTTCCAGGCTTTTTCTCAGCTCCTGCCAAAAGCCAAGAAGAATGATGAAAAATAAATATGGTACTTTGAGAAAAACTTATTTGAAAACAGATCATTTGAACCGCTGAACCATTCTCACCGAACTAACTTTTAACAATATTGTCTCAATTCATATGTAGTCGTGGTTCTAAAGATGAGAAAACTAAAGGCAGGGGAAAACGAACACTCTGGATTTAGCAGTACTAATTGTGATGTCTGTATCCCTAAGACAGACAGAGAGAGAGAGAGAGAGAGAGAACAAGGAGTGGGGGGAGAGAGAGAGAGGAGAGAGACAGAGACAATATGGCTCTGAGACTTGTCAAAACAGATTGTGGAGTCCCACCCACTGACTCACGGCTCTGGGATGGGGCCCGAGGATTTATATTTCTAATAAGGTGATCCTGATCCTGGTACTGCTGGACCAGGGACCACACTTGGAATATGAAATCCTAAAGGTCTCCAAACGACCTGAACATTCCAGATGGTAAAATGTCTGGCAGATAGCAGTGGGGGCCCATCCTGCATATTGCCAGGATATTTAGCAGCATCTAAATGTCGTAACATTTAGCACGTAAGTATAACTGCTTGATAATTTTTTCATATGTTTCTTTTGTCTACATGAGACTGTGGATTTCTTAAGGCTAAGTATTAAGAGCTGTACTTAGAGTGACCGGAAAATAGATCACCCAATGTGATCTCTCTGAAATATATCTCTGAAATGGAGAAAAAGGCACTACTACATTTACACTGGAACAAAAAGTATACACAGGCACGTTTGGGGAAACCAGCATGTTTGGTTAGTCTTGCTATGCCACCCTGTAATAGCCAACGTAGTTGTCAGAAAATGAGAAGCAATTAATAAAGGTTTGATGACTGACCAATAAATGTAATCGTTATTGCAGGAGGCTGAATAATGGCTTCCCAGAGATGTCTACATCCTAATCTCTGGAACCTGGGAACCAGTGAGGGCTCAGGAAGAAGTGAGGAGTACTGTACAGAAAACTTTTGTCACCTTGGAGAAATCATCCTAAATAGACCGATGATAGAAATACAGACATTTAAGGCCTAGCAGGTGAGGGCTCAGAGACGAGCCCCATGTAATTGAAAACTGGAGGGGAGGAAATCCTATAGTAGCAGAGTCGAGGTGATTTGTGTCCTACAGCTACGTGATAAGCAGAACTTGTAGGTGATGGGCTTGGATATTGAGCTCGGGAGATTTCCAAGCCAAGTGTTTGAAGATTTGGTCTGCTTTTTCCCTGCTGTGTAGAGAAAATGTGAGAGGAGAGAGACAGACTGAGGGAAGAACTGTTAAGGAGAAAGGAACCAGGACTTGACAATTTGGAAAACTTTCAACCTATCCAGATTGCAAAAGATGCTAAAATTAGGAGATCCGCTGTCAGGAAAGTGTGCTGTGGAGAAAGAACCAAGGGTATGGCTGGACAGCCTTTTGCTAGTACCTGGAAGGCTCTAAAGCGTAGAGTATTCCATCACATGGAAGACTCTTTGAGGCGATTAGACAGGGGGCCCACAATCCCTAGACATCTCAGCAGAAGCCAGGAACAGAGACGGACAGTCTAGGAAAGATCTTCCAAGGAGCCTCTAGTGGGGTGAATCCTATAGGCACACACAGGAGCACATGACTTTGGGGAATGTCAAGCCAGCAGAAGTACTGCCAGCGTAGACTGAATGGGAGAAGGAAATGACAAAATGGAAGAAGGCTGCCAGACTCTCAAAAGTTCTCCAGGCAGGAACTAGGCTGACAAAACCACTCCTGCGCAAACACAGCCACCCTTCCTGGAAAGGGAAGGATGACTCTAAGGAGGGGGCTGTGGGCCAGGAGAGTGGAGTCTGAATCAGAGAATCATCCCAGGCCTTGAATCCTAATGCAATTTTCCCAGTTGGGTGTTGAGACTAGATGGGTTTGGTGATTGCTTTTTTCTTTCATTTCCTCCCTTTTTGACAAGAATGTCTATAACTGTCATCCTGGGCCTGACTCCCCATTGTATTTGGGAGCAGATAACTTGTCTTCCAGTTTCACTGGCCCATAGATAGAAAGAGACTCTGCCCCAAGACGGAGCATATCCAGAGTCTCGCCCGTAATGTAAATGGCTGAGATGATGAGATTTGGGAGTTTCAAGCTGATGAGACTTAGACTCTATTCAGGACTTGAGTTGATACTGTCATGGGTTAAGACTCTGGGGAACCTTGGGATGGAACAAGTGCATTTTGCATGTGAGATGGACATGACTCTTTTGGGGGCCAGAGGACAGACTGTGGTAGGCTGGATAAAAGGCCCCCAAAGATGTCCATGTCCTAATCCCTGGGACCTGCGAGTATGTTTTCATATGTGGCAAAGGGACCTGGAAGATGTAATTAAGTTAAGGGTCTTAAGATGGGGAGATTAACCTAGATCATGCAGATGGGCCCAGAGTAGTCATAAGAGTCCTTATAAGAGGGAAACGGGAAGGGCAGAGTCAGAAAAAGATGTAAGGATGAAAGCAGAGGTCAGGGAGAAGAGAAGATGCTACGGTGTTAGCTTTGAAAAAGGGAGAAGGGGCCACAAGCCAAGAAATGCAGATGACCTCTTGAGGCTAAAAGGGCAAGGAAATGGACTTTCCTCTACGGCCTCTACAAGGAACGCAGGCCAGAGTGGGATCTCACTCTGTCACCCAGGCTGGAGTGCAGTGGCACCATCACAGCTGATCTTTCTGCTTCAGCCCCTCAAGTAGCTGGAACTACAGGCACACATCATCATGCCCTGCTAATTTTTTGATTTTTTTTGTAGAGATGAGGCTTCACTAAGTTGCCTAGGCTGGTCTCGAACACCTGGGTTCAAGCAATCCTCCCTCCTTGGCCTCCAAAGGTGCTGGGATTATAGGAGTGCACCATAATGCTTGGCCACCTTGATTTTAGATCAATGAAATTGATTCTGGATATCTGACCCCCAGATAAGACACGGAGTTTGTGGCAAGTTGGTATAGCAGCAGGAGGAAACCAACATAGCTGTCTCTCTCTTACAGTTCTCTCCCTTCCATACCACCCTCCACATCAAGTAGCAGTTATATTTACTGAGGAACCAGGACATCACTGGCCACACAGTAGGTGCTTGGCCAGGATCTGCTGAATGACAGGGTAGCTACGAGCAGGAGGGGAGTGCACTCCTACACCTTGGAGGGGGCACTGGTAATGATGTGACCCCTCGCAAGTTACTTAACTTTCAGCTGCATTCTGATATCCACAAGAAAGGGCCAGTATACCCCTGCCTCACAGAACTGTTTTAAAGCAATAGTCTGAACGGGGAGTGACTTTGTCCCCCACCTCCACCCCAGGGACATTTGACAATGACTGGAGATATCTTTGGCCATAACTGGGGGAGAAGCGTGCCACTGGCATCTATGAGGTGGACACCAGGGATACCACTAAACATAACAGAATACACAGGACAGCCCCCAAAACAAATAATTCTCTGGCAGAATGTCAACATGCTGAGGCGAAGAAAGTCCGTATTAAAGCAAGCATCGATTCCCCACCAGCATTTAAAAGATCACACAAGGTCTTCTAATTGAGCACATTGAGATGGTCCATGTAACCTTCACGGAAACCAGGTCAAGGTCATGGCTCATGTCTTCAAAGGCTGACTGTGGTTGGAGCTGGAGGGTCAGCAGACTGACTGCTCCTCCACAGGGAAGCATGAGCTCCTAGGTGACCTGCTGTTTAAAACTAGTAACTGTAAGAGCAATGACCCTTTACAGTAGAATAATGCTCTGTACGCTGCATTTCAATTCTCTCATTTGATCCTCAGAATAACCCTGTAAGACAGATCAGGAGACCAAAGCCCTGTGATAACACAGTTCTGGGCAAAACAGGATGGCCTACTGGCTCCTGTTGGTGGCCCAAGCCCCATTCTCAATTGGGGTCAACTCAGGTTCTTCTGTTCTGCATGGTGGGGAAAGCCTGGGTGAGAAAGCAATGGGCAAACTCCTCTCTCTACATCCCTTATTCTTGCCCGGTCACTGGGGACTAAACTCCTAGCTGAGAGACTGCTGTCACTGCCGAGGAAGCCCCAGGCAGTCCTGGGGCCCAGAACTATCCCCGTGGATGTCTAAGGCAGAGTGACACTACTGACCATGACCAGTTCCAGGACGAATTTGGATGAGGATGAGGCACCTATGGCCAGCTGGGCAGACTCCCTCTGGCCTCTTCACACCTTCACAATGTTGCAACCCTACATTTTAAGTGACTGAATTTTCAGGATCCCCCAAATTTGAGGAATTGAGACCTAGAGCCTTTAAGCTGGTTCAGCTTCTCATGGTGATTAAGTGGCAGAGCTACGACTTCTGCCCTCGGCTACTACTCCCTGCTCTGAGGTTGTCCACACATACAACACTCTTGCATCTGTCATGGTTCGACCGATGGGGAGGACAACATGGTAGCCACCATTTGTTAACGTTCCACGCATGCGCGTGCGCTAACGGTAGTGTGCTGAGGCTGAGGTCACAGTGGGAAGCAAGATGGCAAGACCTCCACCCTTAAGGGAGCATACTGCGCGGGACAGGGGAGCAGACAGGAAACACATGAAGAAAAAGAAACAGGTGCATTTCAGATGTGGCCGGGACTGTGAAGGAAAGCCCCCATGTGGATGACAGGACAGGGTGCCGGGGCTCAGGGAAACCCGATGAAGGCTGGTCAGGAGGGCTGGGTGATGAGGAGCCACCCAGAGAGTGTCAGGGACATAAGTCTGTCTGGTGGTAGGAACAGCAAAGGCAAAGGCAGAGTGGGCTGGAGGCCGTGTCCTCTACGGTGGGAGGGTCATGAGCTTTGCGGGCCTCGGGGAGAGCCTAGATTTTGTTGGATGCACAAGAGGCCGCTGAAGGTGCTAAGCAGAAAGACAGCATCATCTGATTTTTGTTTTAAAAAGATCACGACGGCTCTTGAATACCAGGTAGATTTTGGGAGGTGGGACAACAGGGGAGGACAACACCAGCTGCAGTGACAGGTGAAGAG